CACTCAGCCACTGGGTTATCTCTTTAGCTAAGCCCAGCGGGCGCGAAAACCTGACGTGCGTCCGGAGTTCTGCAACCTTTCGAATGAGGAAATGAGTGGCCTCGACACTGCTGACAGTGACACTTTGTACTACATTGTGCACAGTAGACTAAAACCTGAAAGGCTTTTTTAAAAAGAAATTGGATAGACACGCCGGAGTTAGGTAAGACATGCCGACATCCCCGCCCTTATTGTTTCAAAATTTGTATGTCGCAACACAAACTGTTGCTCAAATTTTCTTATCGGGTATGGTCCAGGATATGTTTTGTTGTTGTTGTAATTTTCGTAGGTTATCGCGGTCAAGGGGTTAAGATACAATCAGTAGGAAAATGACGCTAGTAAGAAAGAAGGTGAATATGTTGGTGACAGCGCTCCGCAACTCAAGAGACGACACCTCGTGGAGACGACAGTCTGAGCTGCTGGTATTGAAGTCTTTATTTTGACAACCTTTTAAAGGTAATTGCACCACGCTGGCGCACTGCTGTTACGTCTTTGTTCTTTTGTTGGACACGATAGCTAATTAGCTTGTATCCGAGAGAGCTATCAGATTGAACGATATAGGATAGTAGTATTTCACTATCTTATCTGTTGGGTTTTATTGCGGCTCTCCTATATACAGGATACTCAATATACTACATTTACTTTTGTAACCCTTTCCTGACATACCGTTATCAGCGGTAGGGCTTAGGGAGGTGAGCGCACTAAAAATCCATAGTGATGAAGGGGTTAAGTACATTTTGGATACGTTTTCTGGTCTGCCCAATAACTGAGAGCACGACCAATTGATAGTCCAAGTTAATCTATGTAGTTCTTCGTTAGTAAAATGTAAAATGTGGACATACGAATAACCAGGATGCACTTAGGTTAAAATTATCATTCTACGTCAATAAATATCAGTCTAACAAGCAGAAAAGATTATACTTTTTATCATTTTTTTTAAAACAAATCCTCGAAAAAGCCATTTTTTAAATCTAAGAGAAATGCTTTTTCAAGCGCCATGGGGCCAGACTACGTGATATTTTTTACGTTATATTATGATATTAGGGATACCTATGAAGCTGTCCTTTTGGACAACTTCGATGACGCAGGATAGGTATTCCGTTTCGTACTGGTCCTTACTTCTCATCCGAGGTTTTGTGGGCTTACTGATTACGGCTTGTTGGGTAAGAGGCAAATGCCGAAGTGAGTAAATTAGTGCTAAACAAAACTGTCGAGCATGACTATCTAAATACCATATCTCAATTGTTTCTCTCGTTGTACGCTTGTAAATGTAGAATATTAATCACTGCCATGTACCTTCATCCAGTCGTAGCATTCGAGCATGTAATTACTGAATGGTGTTCCAGAAGCAGCTCTAGCCAATAGTGGAACGGCTCGGTGACCGTTCCAACGGCCTCGCCTATCCAAGCTGAGCCAATGCAACCTAAACACTCCCACTCACCGCTACTGTACGGTAGCCTTGTACTTAATGCCGTCCTCGCCGCGCTGGAACGCCGGTGTCTCCGTCCCAAGCACCACTGTTAGTATGTCGACTAGCTGCTACTGCGCGTTGCCGTAGTCCAACGTAGCTGGTTGAAGCTCTCCGTTCTGACGGATGTCGACGTGCTTGGCTCTCGCGTGGTATCCGGTGTTCCTCTCCAATGCAATGGCTTCCTTCCAAATCTTCATCGCTCCCACTTGGTCTTGGTTCGCCCTCGTGAACATCCTTTGTGGCCATCTTGCGTGCATATCTTGCGTGCATAGGCTCAGCGTCATGTACACCAGACACCCGATCGATGCGCGGTACTGCTTCGACGGCATCTTGCAGCGCTCCAACTCCGTCGCTAACGGCACAATTGACGTGCATGGGCTCTCCATCATCTTGGCGTCACCAAGATTGAAGCGTTCCACAACGTCGTCGATGCATCTTGTCTTCTTGATCATGAGCGTTCCAACTAACCTGGCTTGGTTGATCTCCATATCTAGGATGAGCTTAGTCTCGCCATATCCCCTCATCTTGAAGGCGCTCTGCAGCGTGCCCTTGTTCCCAATGACTCGCCCTAGCTCGCCACGCTTCTTAAAAAACACCCAGTGATTTCTAATCAGACGTGAAGGCGTTCCTCGTGGTGCGATAGTCCTCGTTCCGTTCTTAGCGTGAGTCTCCCGTCTCTCTTTCACACCCTGGCACCGTCCCGCTGCTTTAGTACTAACAAGGCCTTCTTGGAACGCGTTAGGCGTATCTGGAACGCCTCCAATACTGGCAGCGTACGCTAACACTACCTCGTCGCTCAGACCGCTCTCGCCGATCCTGGCACGCTTTAGAGTAGGCGAGCCGTCGCTTCCGCTCGACTTGTTCTCTTCAACTTCGCCCGTTCCGCTCTCTAGTAGGAATGACGGTGCACGCGGTCGTCCCAAGCGTTCCGCCTCAGGATGGAAGAGGAGACCTTCCTCCAGGAACGCCTTTGGAGGCAAGTAATGCGTTGTCAATCCCAACCCTGTTGTCATCGACACCATTGGCGGGGGAGCTGGGGTAGCGTTTCACTATGCTCGGGCTCCACCTCGTTCATCTCAACATCTTGGACAGGTTCCTCCACCTCTGCTTTGGGTCCGTCTTGAACGGAAAGTTGTTCCATTTGTTTTGGAACGCCAGCTTCATCGCCGTTCTTCGCCACATGAACAACCGTTAAGGGCGCTGACGACGATGTGTCGAAAATATCTTCTGTTTAGCGATCTTCCAGCTTCAAGGAAACACGATACCTTGACCTTGGAATCGTCCCAGGCGCAAACGCGGTACCCTTTAGCGCTCTCGGAGTACCCGAAGGAACGTGCACCTGAAACGTTTGGGATCAAGCTCCGTTCTCTTGAAAACGAGCGTTGGAAGACTGCAATTAACCAGCGAAGGCTAGCAATGATTGTTGGGAAACCATGCCAGAAGGTTTAATTTGGTGAGTTTTGACAGTAAAAAACACGATCAACAACGGCGCACGCATCATCCATGCTGTTTGGAGAATTAAATTCAGAAATGATGTTGCAAGACAGTATGCCATCGCCTACAAAATAATTATTTTTTTACGGATGCCTTAATCACTTCCCATCCAAAAGAGCCAGAGGGACTTCCTCTTGCCAAGAACCTTTATTATTCGTCTTACAAAAACTTTGAAGCTCAACTTGATTACTGTAGGATAAGCAATTATTTTCCAAACAGAGAAAATCTCTATTCTAGCCCTCACGAATTTTTGTTCGATACGCCCAATCAATTCTTTAAATTTTATGTTTTGACCAATCACAGTCCAACCCATCAAAAATTTCCTAAGATGTTTCCATTAGTTTTTGGAAAAACGTGCACATTACCGAAGAATGATACGTACAAATGTCAAGTCTAAAGCTGGATTATTCCAATAACTGCGACTCTTCCAAGTTCTCTCCACGCGACTTTGCCTTTTAAAAAGATGCAGCGCAGTGCAAGAGGACTCGACGTCCCGCAAGGAACGGCATTGCAAGAAGCAGCAGCAATGAAATGCTTCGGAAGATTTCTAGCACTCCGTAATATGAAGGAAGAATCCATCGCCACGATTGTAAAGTCGTTGTCTAGCTCTAATGCTTTACCTAGCCAGAATTTATACTCTTTGCTAACTGCTTACTCTATTTTTCTGCAAACGAAACAAAGTTCTGGAGGCAGCCAGCTCACCAAGGCTACCTGGCTATACGTCACAGATAGTTCATTTGCTGAGAGAGCGGTATCCGCAGTTTATGTCAGCCAGCAAGCGAATTGGAAAATTAGGGTGCTGCTATTGAGCAGTGGAACTTGCTAACCTGTGCACAAACAGGAGAGGCAACCGGGTGGACGCTGGGCGGCCTACGTCTGCTAGTCCAGGAAACTACTATTAAGGGGGCTGGAAATGGCTACAAGAGCATACATGATGCTGCTGTATTAACTCTAATGTGGCACAGCTTTGGTCGCGCAATTGATACTTGTTTTGCCAGAAAAACTCAGCTCTCCATGTCAGCATCGGGCGCACTGTTTTTGCGTGTGGCAACAATCAAGACGTATGTAGTACAAGGGATTTATATATACAAAGCGGCCGTACACTGGGTATGCTCTTTGTGGGTGCTTCTGAGCCATCATATTACGTATTTCCACTGCTACCGCACGTTGCTGCGTCTAATTTACCTGGCGAGGAGACATACAGTCAAGACGGAGCGATTCTGTATTGGGAAAGCCTCGAAGAAAACCAGGACTCGAAGCAGCCTCCAGCAAAGCGTGTTAGAGGAAGACCAAGTGTAGCCAAGTACATCAACGACATCATAGCCTCGTTCACCGTCCGGCTCTCAAAATCCTGTGCCCCACTGCCTCCCGACCTTACACCTGGGCTCACTAGTCACTCGTTGAGGCGGGGTGCAGCTGCCTACGCGAATGCGTCACCGAAGCTCGCAATTCAGTGGGTCTCGACGCGAGGGGCGTGGCTGCTGAACTGTCTAACAAAGGCGTTCGCTTACGTGGGCACCACCACGAAGGAGGATCAAAGCGTTGGCAAGGTGCTTGCGGGGTACCAGGATCCGCATCTGCCTTGCGTAACGCCGTCGATTATGTCCTTGAAGGCGCAACTACCCGACCTCGAATACGTCCAGCTTCTAACACTGCGGGGGCTGCTTTTCAAAAATGTGTCGGGTTTCACGGATGTAAATCTGACCGTTGACGGTGCGGTACTGGATGCTGCCTTGGCGGCGCTCTTCATTCATCTCGAGGAAGTCGCAACAGCAGTTGCAAGTGAGCAGGGCACGTCTGGGTTCACGTCGCACTACATGTACCGGCTTCGCGAAGCCCTTGAAGCCACCAACACCACCCTGGCAGCTGACTTGACACTAGATTCTTGTATCGAATGGGGCGACGGCTACGAGTGTTGTGGAAGGCGGAGAATCATGTTTAAATCGGAAATCGCAGTGGCGGTGACACAGCAGCGCTTAGTGCTGCCATCACGCAAATGCTGGCTTCGATTGGAACAATGCAGCAAACATTGCACAAGCTTGTTGCCATGCCCGAGGCACAGCCATGTAGATCCTCCCAACCGTCGACTTGTAGCTGTAGTACATCAGGCTCTAGTGCTCCACTTCCTCCAAGCCAGGATGACGTCGTTGTCGAGGCTCACACGTTGGCTGGATGCTTCTTCAATTGGTTCACACTTGAGCTGTGGCACACGGTTACGCAGAAAAAGCAGCAGTTTGGGCAAGCAGATCTGAAGGCCTGCATTAACGTCATGATGGTCACCGGAGGCCGTGATATGAACATACCTGCTGCGCCGGTTGAACGAACAGAAGTCGCATATCGCATGTGGAAACAGACGCTCAGGACGCTAGCAGAAGACTTGGACAAGAAGGCCAATTGCAAGCTGAGAAGTATTAACGGAAAGAGCACCTCCAAGACAGCAGGCTCTTTGAGGAAGCGTTGGAGGAAACTGCGACTTGAGCATCAACCGGAGTACAAAGTGCTGTGCTCTGCGTACATCCGCGAACCGTATCGTCGACCAGTCACACCTGGCACACACATTTGGAAGCAGAAAGACTTGGAATTGTAGGCTCAGTTTAGCTCATGCCTTCATTTAAACGCTTAAATTGTACGCCGATACATATAAATTTCACAGCAAACACACAATCAGCAGTCTTGCGGTGAGTACACACCGCACTGACACTGTTAGCAACCCGTCAGCTATACGAACAAAGCATTTTACGCACCCCGAAGACGTTGCTAGCAAGTCGAAAGCATATAATGTAGCCGTCGGGGCGCGAAATGGGCAGCATTTCACCAGCCCTGCCGGGTTTGATCCAGCTTTAACAGCATGCGAGCGCTGAGTCTGCGGCTTCATCCTGAACGTCGGCGCGTTGGTGCGCGTGCCTGGCTCTGCGTGCTTAGTTGCTCGTAGGCGCGCGTGCGCGTGCGTGGCTGCTCGTCGGTGCGCGTGCTTTTCGGGCTGTGGGTGGAGTGGCGTGCATCGTTTTAAAAAACTTTAAGGTTTTGGAGCCATTAATTCTGCTCATACTTTACTCAAGTGGTTTGGCGGCTGTTGACGGATTGGCTCCCAGTTTTGGGAACACGCTTTGGAACTCGTTCATTACTGTACATGGCCTCTTCGGACTAATCAAGCTTTCGAAAAATTGATGGTATTTCGAACATTCAGCTTACTAAGATCGTGCAACCGGACATAAATTGTTCAGTCTGGGTGTTGACTCCACGTGAAAACTTTAAAAAATAGAGCCGAGAAAAAAAGTGTGTCTCCGTTTACTTGAAGTACCGTATTTTGCCTCAATAAAGTAAGCTATAAAAACTAATAATCTTTGATACTATGTTTTCACAAGCTCCCACAAAGGAATGATTTAAAACTTCTATTTCGACAATACCCTGGAAATTATCTTCATATCAGGACTGCCTTATTGAGACAAAATACTGTACATTTTTTCAAGAGACGACTCTCTATTTTTTTTTATTTCAAAAGCGACCTGCTTTCTTTCTGACCGACGTATTTAAGATCGAGCTGTCAAACATGAGTGCACCGTCTATACAAAGCAAAGTGTCCCAACCTTCTGCTCGGCCTAAACTCGAATAAGGGCCCCGTTCGGGCTGGTATGGAATGACACTACGCATATTATGACCTTCATCGACTTGGTATCCAACTACGTTATGTGAAACGTACTTCCTACAGTAGTTGATTTTGGGACAGTACATGCGTCGATTCAAAAGAAACACCCACGACGGGTTACAGGACAATTTTGCCGCCGAGATTTATAGAAGACAAATGAAAAGGAAGGCCCCTCAATCCATGTGTTTGATGGGCTTTTTTAGGCCACTGTGGCGTGTAAGGTAGACCGATAGTGGATTTGCAATCTACAGTACTCGTTTTCTTTCCAGAAGATTGAGTATTCAGTATGGAGTCAAGCATTTTGACTGATATTTGGCTTGTATTTTTCGCCATCATAAAAGTACTGTCAGAGACCAGAATCCTTTTTCTTTCGTTTTGTTGCATTTTCCTTTGTGTATTACGGTACATCCGTAATCAGCTACCCGGTTACTAAACAAAAAAATCATTGCAGTGGAGGATAATACTGTGGAGCAAAAATATCACATGCGGATCTTGCAAAACGATTTTTCATTATTTTTCTTTTAACAAACGAACCCTCTTACCCTCCCGAATTGTCTGGTCCGAACTACTTCGTGAGCGTACTTAGCCTCTCAAAAAAAGAACGCCGACGCCAGACGCAGTATTATCGCTTGTTGGGCTCTCCTGAATTATAGTACTAAAGCTTGTATTTTACCGAAAGAGCCCGGCGCTTTTCAGTGAGGAGGCCCTCGTCAGTGACGGCGAAGTGGGCTGAGAAGATGGATGGTTGGTTTCAACGAGGAATTACGCCGGGCCAGGCCAGGGATAAACTCACTGCTGTGGGGGGAGAGATGAGCCGAAAGAACGGGAGAAAATACTATCTCTTCTTGAAGAAAAAGAATAAGGCGAATCCCCAAGGTCGTGCTTAAACCTCATAGCGTGTTCTAACATACGAAGCATTTTAGAAAGTTGCTGAATTCTCGGCAAATGAAGCGATCCAAATTGTTAGTTCTGTCACGCTTGATAAATGACATGTGGCTCGAGAGCAAAGTGGTAAACCCCCGAGAACCGGGTTCGCAGCAGTTATTAATACGCGCTTAGGATCAGAAATACAGCACCTAAGCGAGCATGCACGCAAGACGTCATTCTAATGGCTTTCCTTAATCTCCTTGTGTCTTAAAGATTCTTTAATGATGGTCAACTTCTTTTTTAGAATTAATAAATCATATGTTTTCATTATATTTCATAGAAACAAGAAAAAATAGCACTAGTACTAGGTTCTACTTTATTAATCCCTTTCAAATTAGTAGCAGCTACCAAACGACGCCCCTTTGTCGTGTTCTACTGTTCTTTCGATAAAGCCGCGTTTTACACGGAGAATCGCTGGATTTACGCTATTGTGTGCAGGGTGGTTACATCATCTATACTTGATAATCTGGCCCCGACGCACGAATTAGATCCACATTGAGGCACAGTACGTAGCATACTCCTGTATGCCGCTGGATGCTTTGTTCGAACAGTAAATACGCGAGCATACTATGCGAGTCGCTTTGCGATCACAAGAAGGGTATTGGCGATTAGATATGGTGTTCTGTAGGTATCTGATCCGTCTGCTCCGCAGCTCAGTGTAAGCTGAAGTATGTTCGGAGTCCAAGACAAACAAAGGGGTTATATCGATATTTAACCGGCCAATCAAATCAAATTGCCGCGTCCCGTTCTATGATGTTTCAAGACACGCATGCTGGCCGGATACCTTAACCACTTCCCATCTTAAAGAGCCAGAGCGACTTCGTCTTTCCAAGAACCTTTATTACATATCGGTTTAAAAAAACTTCGGAGCTCAAGTTAATTACTGTACATTCATGCTTTCGAAAATTGATGGTATTTTGAACATTAAATCTTCTGGACAGAAAACGAGTAGTGTAGATTGCAAATCCAGTATCAGTTTACCTTACACGCCACAGTGGCCTAAAAAAAACCAACAAACACATGGATTGAGGGGCCTTCCTTTCATTTGTCTTCTATAAATCTCGGCGGCAAAATTGTCCTGTAAGCCGTCGTATGTGTTTCTTTTGAATCGACGCATGTACTGTCCCAAAATCAACATGTACTGTAGGAAGTACATTTCACATTGCTAATTCACACCGACTCTGCACGGTTCAGTTAACCGGCTGAACGTTCCAGGATCGACCGGTCCCAAACCGGTTAATCTGGTGGATGGCCAGGAGCACTGAAGTTTAGAGGACAGATTTAATTGACTTTAATCTACTCACTTCGGCATTTACCGTTAACAACAACAACAGGTTAACAGCCGCAACCTCAACTTGACCGGAACGCTCCACGCAGGAACGCTCAAGAAACGGAACGCTCCACACAAGAACGCTCAAGACCATGACGACTACCAAGCGTGCCGAAGTCCTCCTCGGGAGTGGGAACTACTTCCATTGGGAGTACAATATGCGCATGACGCTAGCCAGAAAGGTATTGCTTGCGCATATTCAAGTCGTCAAGCCTGAGAACGAGATCACAGAGGCGTGGCTCGTCAACGATGCTAAAGCGCTTGGCATCAACGCCCATGGTGTGGAACTCCAGAACCAGACCAAGATCCGGTCGGCGACGCGTTCCATGGAAGCATGGGAAACGCTCCGCGAGTTCTACAATCGCAGCACGCTCCACAACCGCGTGACGATGACGCGTCGACTGCACGAGTTCAAGATGGAGAGCGGCTCGTCTATGGCCAAGCATCTGGATGCGTTCGATGAGCTGATCGTCGGTTTGCAGACGCTGGGAGAGCCCATGGACGAGGCACGCCAGCTGGTGGTACTGCTGAGCAGCCTCCCCGCCGAATACGAGCTCACATCGTCTATCGGGGGGAACGCCAAGGGTGTGACGCTCATCGAGGCCAAGGAGAAGCTGTTGAAGGAGTATGAGCGACTCGAGAAGAAGGAAACCGCGGAGAAGGCGTTCCAAGTGAATGGGAACGCAGGCAAAACGGCCGAGGGAACGGTCGAAAGTGGAACGCTCCGAAGCGTAACGTTGGTTTCAAGGGCAAGTGCTTCAACTGTGACCACGTGGGCCACATGAAGCGGGACTGTCCTGCTACGAAGAAGGGTAGCCAAGACGATGCCGTGTTTGCCGTTGGTGGGGAACGCTCGGCCGGGTGGCTGATTGATAGCGGTGCGACGTCGCACATGACCCCTCACCGGAACGACCTGTTTGAGTACAAGTCGATGGACACTAGCATGGAGGTGACAATTTCAGACGGCAAGAAGCTGCACGTCGCAGGAACTGGAACGGTCAAGCTGACTGGTTTGGATGGTAGACGCATCCGTATGGTGGACGTGCTCCACATCCCCGGGCTAGATAGACGCTTATTGTCAGTCGGGAAGCTCGCGGAACGCGGTATGAGTGTGGAGTTCCAGCGTTCCAGTTGTGTAATTTGGGGACGGAACGCTGCAATAGCGTCAGGGAAGAAGGTCGGTAAGGAGTTCCTTTTGGACTGTCAGCAGGAGGAGGCCCGTTTCGTGGAATACGCCGATGCAGACAGCGAGTGGGAGCTTTGGCACGCTCGCATGGGTCACCCCAACAAGTACGCACTGACGAAGACCCAGCGTTCCACGACCGGTATCCCGCCAGTAAGAAGGGGGTGCGAGACTTTGTGCGGTGGATGCATGAAGGGAAAGCAGACCGTGACGGCGTTCCCATCACGATTCACTGACGAAGACAACGCGTGTGTTGGAACTAGTACACACGGACGTTATGCGACCAAAGAGAACGCTCTCAAAGGGGGGGGTGCTGACCTTTGTAGACGACTACGCAAGGTATGTCGTGACATTCTTCATGAAGAGCAAGAGTGAGGTGGGCAGCAACCTGAAGGAGTTCAAGGCGCTGTATTAAAATCAGTGGGGGGAACGATTGAAGTGCCTGCGTTCCGATAACGAACGGAGTTTGTAAACAAGACGGTATTGGAACTCTGTCAGCGG